ACACATCCTGCTGCTCAGGATGAACATACAGTAGCAAGACTTCACTAGTGTGAATCCATTAAGTATGTAGAGATTTCAGAAAAAATCATGAGAGAGTTTGTCAACAACACATGGACCAATTTCAGAATTAGTCATTCACAACACACACACATATTATCATTCATAGTATACATGTACAATACATATCCATACTAGGGTATTTCTAAAATGTTGCATGCATAAACATTTTTATGATGATAATTTTTGATAATGTTCTTCACATTACTTTTAAAGAGTTGTAGTGGATGAGGAAGCATGTCTAGTACTGAACATTGCCACCACATACTGATACACTCTAGGGAGAGGGGTGGAGGGAGGGGTGCAGAGGGCAGAGGGAGGGGGCAGAGGCGAGGAGGGGTAGAGGGTGAGGGGAGGGGGTGCAGAGGGGGAGGGGAGGTGTAGAGGGGGCGAGGGAGGGGCAGAGGGTGAGGGAGGGGTGCACAGGCGAGGGAGGGGGGGCAAGTAGAGGGAGAGGGAGGGGGGGGGGCAGAGGGCGGGAGGGAGGGGCAGGAGGGGTGAGGGGGAGGTGAGGGAGGGACAGAGGGCGAGGGGAGAGGGAGGGGTGAGGGAAGGGGACAGAGGGCGAGGGAGGGGTGCAGAGGGCGAGGGAGGGGGTGGGCGTAGAGGGCGAGGGGAGGGGGGGGATGCAGAGGGCGAGGGAGGGGGGTGCAGAGGGCGAGGGAGGGGGCAGAGGGGAGGGAGGGGTGCAGAGGGCAGGAGGGGGGGGTGCAGAGGTGGAGGGGGAGGGGGGTATGCAGAGAGAGGGGAGGGGGGATGTAGAGGGTGAGGGAAGGGGTGCAGAGGCGGAGGGAGGGGGTGCGAGAGGGTGAGGGAGGGGGGGATGCAGAGAGGCGAGGGAGGGGCAGAGGGAAGTGAGGGAGGGGGGCAGGGAGAGCAGAGGGAGGGATGCAGAGGCGAGGGGAGGGGGTAGTAGAGGGGTGAGGGAAGGGGATGCAGAGGGCGAGGGGAGAGGGGGCA